TCTTCAGAGCATCTTGCCCAAATCGAGCTCCCGCGTCTTTAGAGGAACTCCCAAAGTCGCCGCGGCTTGAAATTCGAACCACTCTAGAGCTAACTTCTGGCAAGCATGCACAATAAGTAGTCTCCTATTCGGAATGCAGTCCGTGACTTTCTGATCTGCAAGAGCGAAACATTCCTCGTTTCTCGGGTTTCCTTGCTTGCTCCAATCGACCAAGCAACGGCGTGGTCGAATCCGGTAACACGAGATCTCGTAATGTGACCAGCTGAGAGGGAGTGCTTGAGAGACAGCTGCAAAAAAAAAGAGAAGCTTTCTGAAAATATGTACATGTGACGTTTTGAGGGGCTTCGATGTATCACAATATATATATATATATATATATATATATATATATGTGTGTGTGTGTGTGTGTGTGTGTGTGTGTGTGTGTGTTTAACGCTATAAGTTGGGCTCCGTGTTTTCGGATTAATCCGAAAAACTCCGAAAAACACCCGCCGGTAAAATTTTTGTCAATTCGGATTTATTCGATAAACTCCGAATTGCTATGTGCCCATGCCACCCCCCGCCCCCCTCTTTTTTAAAAAAAAAAAAAAAAAAAAAAAAACTTTTTTTTTGTTTTTTTTTTGCAATTTGAGCAGCGCAGGATTAATGGTCCTGGGAAAAAGACACCACAATTATCTTTCAAGCTTCGGACCGTTTTCAAAAGGAGGTCTTACGGCTTGTCTCGTCAAGGTTGGTTCAGGGAAACAGGTCATCGTACCATTCGTGTCACGACAAAAGCCACTCTTTTGGTTTCCAGTTTGGGCCATTGGGTTTGGGATTTAGAGAAAGGAGTGGGTATGTTTCTGGGGGTAACAGTGAGAGCTATGGACCATAGAGATTGAATAAAATAGGGAAGAGGGGCAGTTGAAACTTCTCTATTACATCCTTAACCACTCCACCTCGCGCGGCCGAGGGATAGATTGATGGGATGACTACGAGCTTCCTTGCGGCTACCTCCGGCAGTTTATTGATTTCAAGGTATCAATGTTTATCGAAGCCACACTTGTGTGCGACTTTTGTCGTGGGACAAATTAGTACTGCCGATGACACCGACGCCCAATTCAACTGAAGAAATCCTAATTGATACGAGCGCGTTTTATTTTTTATCTGGCATACGTTTACATCCGGTTATTATTTATTATTTTTTTAATAAGAAACACTGCGAAATTAATCTCCGAATTTCGGAGAGTTGGGGATTTACAAAAAATAAACTCCAATAAACACCGAATTTTCGCTAAAAAATGAACTCCAAAAAACACCCTCCGAATTTCACGAAAAATAAACTCCGAAAACACGGAGCCCTAGCTATAAGCTATCCAATGTAGCAATTCATAGAAGTCCATGAAGATCATTCGACCTCATCCTTGCTGCATTGTTGCACGGGTTCCTCCGAAACAGGAACAAAATCCCGCTCTTTGTGTTTTTCTCAAGCTTGGAACAAGTTACAGGTACAAGCTCCGGTGGTTCGAAAGGAACGCGTTTCCGTTATCTTTCCATGGTTGAAACATGGCGTTACTTCTCGCTACTTGCACGGATTTAAATTAAATATTATACTTGATAGTTCGTAAATAAAATAATGCAAGCAACTGAAGATATCCACACCGAACTAAATGTCGTGCCGCCACCATTACTTTTTTTTTTTTTCGAGTTTTTTTATTCTTGGCTGTTTCTCAGACACTTCCCCAACCCTTAAAGTCGGAGGTCAAAATAGTCGATTTTAAAAAGTCAAGATGTCTACTGTTTCTAGGTAAAATTGCAGATGTATAGACAAAAAGAAAAGTAACCCAGTTTCTCCTTCCGTTCATTCGAAAATGTAGCGATGTTGCCGTTCCGGTTACTCCGATACAAGACAAAACGGAGGCATTGCTCCAAAATATTACGCGTGTCAAGAACGTCATTCCTTGGAACGTTGTTCCGATCAACACTGCTTCGCTGTACCAGTGCTTACAAGCGTGAAGCAGTGGACAAAGCCCATGACAAGGCTCAAATCTACAAGCCCTCGCTTACGCGTCCGCGACCGATCAGCTTGAGGATGTACTACAGAACTGCTTCAATAGACCCCTTTCGAAAGTCGCGTGCCGATTATTAAAAGGTCGGAATCCCCGCACAATGGCGGAACAACTGACATGGTGGAACGTGCAAGTCATGCCATACGATAGCAAACGTCAGAGCGCGGCCAACGCTAGAAGCCGACGAGCCAATCAAACCGCGTCGAAAGTGCAAGGTCACTGGACTCATCAGCTTTTTCTGTGGGTGTCTTTTTTTCTTCTGCTCCAAGTAAACGCATAAAGTGTGCCGTTACGTTGCGGTTTTGGTCACCTTTGTGCCGGGATCCAACTCAACCGCTGTCAACAGAGCAGGCACGTAGTCCGGATTTTGTAAAGGGGGGGGGGGGGGGGGGAGCGTATGACAAAATGCTGTATGAGGGGGAGGGGGGAGAGGAGGCCCCTTCAAAATGAAAAATTTCGGGGGGGGGGGGGGGGGGGGGGCGGGCCCCATAGCCGCCCCCCCCCCCCCCTCCTGACTATGTGCCTGCAACAGAGGGCAGTATTTCGAAAGGGGTCTAAAGTAACATGCATAAAACATAAACCAGAACACACACAAAAGAACGTAGAATTATTTGTTTTATAGCCCTGTTATCTCAAATAAGATAGCAAGTCTGGAAACACCACGCACCAAAAGATCCAGTAGTAGCCAAGCCAACGTTTCCTTATGTCAGTGCACAAGAAAGCACTGGCCGTGCATTCTGCAAGGGCCCCAAATAAGTACACAAGGAAAATGGCGGAGCTAAATATGATTCATGCGATATAAAGTCACCACAATTAGCTTTTATACCATCAATCAAATTTATTAACACTTTTTACATTCTTTGGAGACAACTTTTCTGAAACCATCACAGATGTTACCCAGCATGAGTGAAAACTGAACCGACAAATTCAGGCAGGTTGCTAAAGCGACGGCAATGCCAGCGGAACGATATATTATATGTTGTGGCCAAATAATTAAATAAAATACAATCATAATAAAAACATCGCTTTGGGAAGCCTTATTACCTGGGCAAAGAAATTGGACGGTTTCATTGTCGCCGGTGCATTGCGTTGCATTCATAATACACACGCTGTGCTCACACTATGTCGTGATGCGTTTCTCATATAAAGCATTTATACTTAGATTCATAAATAAGGGGAAAAAAAACTTTTCGTTTTACGATTTTTCACAGAACTACGCTCAAGAACGTGAAGCTATCACAAAGTTTCTGGCTCCTACTCACTTTTCGGTCGACACTACACCAGCCACGTGGTTTCTGTTTTACAGTTTCGTGGGCATAGCATCGTTACTTAAAGGCCGACGGCCAGACTCGAGATTCTGCAAGGCAGAAGATCCTCCTCACCGTGGGGGAGGAGGAAACAAACGGCGATGAACAGGGTAGAAGGGGGAGAGGAGGAAGCCAGGAAAAAGTGGAAAGCGAGAACTGGTCGTTGGTCTTTAAGGCTGGTTCATACTGTTGCAACCCACCACAACCAAATCCGAAAAAATCCTGTTTTTTAGACTCTGGTGACGGCTTAGGACCGTGCCGCACAGCAGAAATGGCGGTCGCAAGCGGCTTAAAACTCCGTTACGCTGGACTCGATCATAGCCGGTTACAACAGTGAACCAGCCTGTACGGTATAGTTGTAATAGTTGTAAATTCCCCTTTTATAAGGACAATCTTCAAAATAGCTAGCAACTAGATGTTGTTGAAAACAAAAATTTGCAGCTCCTCTCACAATGAAATTATATAAACACTAGCTAGCTTATATATAATAAATAAAAACTGCGATAAACTGGGAGGAGCTCATATCTAAGTTATTATTTCAACTTCACCTAAAAAAAGAAAAAGAAAGTTGCAAAGGTGAGGCGTTTCTACGACATGTTGGGTTCAGTGTAGTATTGATTTTCATATCCGAAACAGTAGCTCGTCCTTATGATAAAAATATTGATACATTTTAAAACAGAAATCAATTTTGAATTTTTAAGCAAAGCTGCTCGCGAGACATGATATGACTGAATTAAAGTTGTCATCCTGGGGAAACTGCCTCCAATAAGCATTAAATTTGCACACTGAGTGATCGCGAAAATTATTATGAAATGCGTGAAAGAATATCTTGCGATAACCTACAGCATATTATACACACACACACACACACACGCTCACGCAAACACACACTGAACGCAATATAAAGTATTTAAATGATGTCTCGATTTGAACTTAGATAATATACTAATTCCACTCTAATAGAATCCTACATACGTTATTGGTCTACTGTACAATTTTATACAATGTTCCACTCGCAGTTTTCGACGGTCAGTGGCTTTGCCGTGGCCGCTTCTGGTGACAACCTTCGCTAGGACGCTTTTTTCTGACACGCTCACTGCGTAGCACCTATCAACGAACTGCTCAGATGAACACGGTAATGTCTTCTTTTCACCAGTTACGTATTCATATTGAATCCTCTGGAACACACGGGAAACAAAAAACTGCCGCAAACAATATAAGGTCAGGTATTAGGCTCGGGGTTGTTTTAGAGGCTTGGATTTCCAGGAACGACAAGTCCGCTGTAAGCTTCTTAGTGAAGATCCCAATGTGTCCAGAAGAAGGGGCGTTCCCTCGAAGATACCCAGGTCTAGTCAAACTACACGCACAATCACACGCAAAAAAAAAAAAAAGACTGATTAATTGAGATCAACGAAGAGAATGTTGGCCTGAATAAAGATGATCACCTTAGCGACGAGGGCAGGTCTTCCACAATGATTCGTAATGGTTCGGTGCTTTGGCAGAGGTAAGGAGGCATCGTCAGTAGTTCGTTAACCGGGTGTCTCAACGAGTGTACTCATGGTCACTCCCTCGTGTGGGTCTCGCGTACGCACTATTCTTCATGAAGCTCATGGCGTGTCTTGTTTTCGTGCTCCGGGTGCCTCGGTCAAAAGTCTCCGGACTTGTACATGTCGCAGAGCAACCTCTCGATGGGGATGGCGCCGATGGTCTTTCTGAAGAAGAGGTCTTCGATGGCCGTCGCCGACACGGTCCTCAGACACGGCAGCGTCAGGAGGAGCTTGCCGAAGCGGAAGGGCTGCGTGGGGTACGCCGTCTGGATGTACTTGGACAACGTCAACTGGGCCTGGTCCTGGAGCGCCGCAGCAGCGTGTATGTCCCGCAGGGTGCGTGTCTCCGACGTCTGTCCTTGAAAGGCTGCAGGAAACAAGGGTAGCACGCGCTTGAACAAAGTATACGTAGATGTGGCGCATACTAATGCGCATTCCAGCACAGTCAGGGGCGCAATTAAAATGTTTCGTCATTGGATCTTGGCAACGCTTGCATCATAGAGTTTCATCTTCTTGCGAATCCCCCCTCCCCCCCCCCCCCCCTCCCCAAACCTGGGCCATAAATCCGCCTTGACTCTACATAAAAAAACAGTATAACTTTTTACTGTCTGGATTATGGAGCTGGAAATCTGTTTCTGAAAACCTGAAATACAGATTGCAGACAATGGAATAATTTTTGAAAACTTGAAATCCAGATTGCAGACAAAGGAATAATTTTTTAAAACCTAAAATACAAATAGTATCTAGATAGATTTCCATTTCTATAATCCAGATACCATAAAATTATTCAGGGTTTTTCGGTAGAGTAGCACAGTTGGGAAATTGGTTATTATCGAAAAGGAAAAAAATCTGAAACTCAAGTCTTCAGCCCTCTGCGGATAAATATTTGTCTAACAAAGGGGGTCACGAGCTAGGCAAATAGATATATAACCGCAGAAAGGGCTGTTGTCAATAAGGGCTCGAATAAAAGTTCCCGTTTTTATTGTCGATTTTGTTTGTACGTGACATGAGCCCACTGAGTAATTCTTTGCCCTATTGAACATTTGGAACTTAAGAAATCCGCGTTACCGGAAGTATACCATGCAATTCGTCGACTAGCACTCACAGGTTTTGAAGAGGAGAATGGCCTTGACGCAGGCGTATTCAGTGGCGTCCACCTGCATCTCCTTGAACCTGGCGATGATCTCCTGGAAGTTGCGGATCTCGGACACCAGCGTCGCCACCCGTTCCGACGTCGACGGTTCGGAGCTCAACCCTGCGAACATGATGCGTCATCGAGTCGTGAATTGCGCTCCCTCTCTTCGATTATTCGGCGGGAACGCGAGAGCGTCAGGTAAGCAGCGTGCTGTATACGGGCCTCGTCTCAAAAGGGAAACAAACAACAAACGCAGCAAGCAAAAACGTCGAGTAGTATAGACCTTTTCACCCTCCGCCGCATGGGCGCTGCCATCTTGGAATCACGTGATGCGGCCGCCATTAGGTTGCTTCAACTTGTTGCTCCGCTCTCCCGTCCGCGCCTTGGCGGATGCGTTCAATTCGTGTTTTTCGTCGCGTTTCACCGCGTCTCTTGCCTTACTCCGTAAAGTGTCGTCCGATACTTCTACTTACCATGCAATTGCATTACATCATTATGCGCGCAACTTCTGTAATTGATTTTTTAACACTTTTTGAATATTTTTTACCGTCGGCGTGCGGGATACGTGTGAATCAGCGTTAGCACTTGCGCACATTGAATACATATGACTTGAAGAGAGCTTCGAGGGTTCAAATACCAATAACTTATGAGAACTGAGGTTTGGCTACTAATAAGGGCGGACCATTTGCAATAGGAAGCCCAATGTTATTATATATATATATATATGAGTGCGCATTGGTGTCAAGGAAGAAAACAAAAACACTCAGCGTAATTAGCCACGTGTTTTTCCTGAAAACATAATGTTTTGTAGTTCCAACAGATCGAAAACAGTTTCTTTTGATTACACCAAGGAACTAGTGGACAAGGCGCGGGAACAAACATTTAGTTTGAATTATTTTTAATGCTAGAAATAATGGTACCTTAACATTGGGCAACTTGTTTGTTCGCAATATCACACCTATATCTGTTTTACGTTCTTAATCGCGTGTGTGATATAAGCATTCGCTTTATCGGTTTACTTATGAATTCTACGGAATTGTATATATTGCTTGGTCCCATATGTCCATAGTCTTTCAGTTGCTTAAGTCATTTCTTGATATAACCTTGCAGTTTCAATTAATTTATTTCAACACAAATATTTGAACTCCCCGCGTAAGAAACTGCCACAGACAACTTGATAGTGCCTATGATTCATAAAATGTGACGCCGAAAAGAATTCTTCTGCATGAAAATCACCCGAGTGTAGCCGGTTGTCGGCTTCGAATAGGGAGTTACTTTCAGTAGATGGCGACGTCAAAATGTGCAAAGCGAATCGTTTCAAATCAGTGAACAGCTTTCTACAAAGGTCCATTGGGTGGCGCCTGGCGTTCGACTTCAGCCAAACTTATCTTTTATCCGAGATAATTTCTTTTGCGATCTTCAATTTTATTCGGCAAATTTTACGGAAGATGACTATCAGACTTTATTTGAAGCCTGGAATTCACTTATCTTACCATTCTCATACCTTGAGAACGTCGTAAGCAAATGTCCATATAACAAAAAGTTTGTTTCATAAGGCCAATATTTTGAAATGCTGTAAATGAGTACTTTAGTTAAGGAAATTTTCTAATCAGCCTAGGCTGGTCTATCAAAATATTTCTCGAACGTTAATTTCTTTAAATAAAACAGGCCGAGACAATATCACTTTTTTTACATTATCTACGTGATTATATTAAACTTTTCTAGTCATTATAAAAGACGTTTCCAGTCTCGAAGTTAGAAAAGGTTGGTGTACGGAAACCAAACATCGAACAGTAAACTCGTCAGTTCATCTGTTCTTGGTGATTCAGCATATTGTTAATCATGTTGTCGACCTGATTTTTCACTAAGCACTCATGCAATATAAGATGATCAGTTCAATATCTGACTTAAGCGCGAGCTATACTTCCGTACCGCTCGGTGCACGCACAGCCAAAACACGGTGGCAGGCAACGAGCGCACGCTGCAGGAGGAGCTTGTCCTGCTCCTTATTTCTTTTTTCCTTCTTGAAATTAGTGTCCGCGGGTACGGCCGTGGACAATGGTGCTCCTCCCTGTGCATCAGCGCAGTTGTTTCACCGCCGAACCTGGCCGAAATTAATGATGGACGGAATCAGACGCATATAGTGTTAGTAAAAAAAGATCGCAATTTAGGCTCGAAACCACTTCGTGGTTTGCAAAGTGGCTCAATACTATTGTTTCATTCGCTGTGTGCTACTAGAAAGAAATTCATATCGCAAAATTAATTGAACGTGGCATGAAACAGCATCACAATCGCGTGTACGTTGAAACCGAAACCGACCAAATTGAAGCAACCTAATGGCGCCGAGTGTGCCAGCGCCCTCTACCCGCCGCTCAGGCAACTACTGAAATGAAAAGGTCTATACACGTTTGCAAGCAGCCGCGTTTCAAACGCTAGTCTGACCCCGTGGACGAAGAAATTGATTGTTGTGGCTTGACAACAAAAAGGAGATTAGAAGATTGATGGAAATTAACATGAATGATGTACAACTAACTAGCACAGCTGGGGACAAGCGGGACAGAGGAAAATCGGGATTCACTCCCGCGTAGCTCCGGTCCAAAGACTCAACCTTATACTCCCAGTGGGCCCAGTGTTGGGTTTTTATAACGCCGACGAGGCTAGGCCAGGGGAAAAGGCGAGAATGATGTTTTTCTAGTTTTCTTCGCCATACTGTCTTGTGATAATTGTACAAAAATGCTGATGGGAAGGAAATTGGCTGAAGCGGGCGAGGAGAGGAATCCTGCTTTTGGTTTCTATACGATACAGTTAGCGCAAGCTATTTCCCGGTATCAAAAAGCCTTTATCATCCATCTTTGTTTTGGGCGCCACTCTTGCCAGCAAGGTGCACGCCTTAGCAAGACTTGACTAAGAATAGTGCATACACCAGCAGCAAGATGGCGTCGCTCAGAGGATACCGGGAAGCGTCTGTACACCAATTCGCGGCTCTGATGTCAAGCCGCTGCGGTAGTGCTGCTTTCGGCACGGCGCATGCGCGGAGGCTTCACGCGAAACATTTACAAACGCTAACTTGTTTGTAAACAACGCTGGGGTGTGGACACCTTGTTAGAACCCCGAGCATCAACGGAACATTAGTGTCAACAATCGATGCTGTGGAAGGTTGCTCGAGGCTGTAAAAGACTGCAGAAATACTGGCTTACCTGCGGCGGCCAGTAGAGGGGCCACCTCGAGGGGCAACATGAACTGCGCCGCTGACAGCACAAACAGCTCTCGCCAGCCTTCTTCCAGAAGCGTGAGCTGCGAAGAGAACGGGCGAACAATCAATTATCACACAGATTCACGCGCACGTCTCGTAAAATTGGAAGGGAATTGCGAGAGAATTTTGTTGACTCATCATAAACTGAATAGTTCTCCTTTCAGTTGCGGCATCAGTTCACCCGAAGAAAGCGGCGCTGTTCACGACTCCGGAGGAGGCGACGCCGCCTAGTGGAAAAGACGTGAAGCAGAGAAGCGGGGAGGTGCGGCCAACACCTTCCCCCCCCCCCCCCCCCCCCCCAAAAAAAAAAAAAAAACGCTCCTAGGCCATCAGCATCAGCATCAGCAACATGTTGCTGATGCTGATGCGGCTGGTGCGACTCGCGCCCTCTATCAGCTAGAAATTTTCTGCCACTCTCTCGGACTGTGAAGACCCGCTCAGCGCGGTTCTCTACCTACGTTTTTGCGGTTTTGCATTCGACGTTTTCTCGCCCTTCTTGAAAGTTTCCACTTAATTTTTTTTTTTATGCGTGCTGCGTACCCTTTTTGGTGTTATCTTCCATTGTGAGAAATAAGGCTGGTAAGTGCCTGCCATTCGAGCTTTTCTGCTCGACCTTCACGGGAAACGAAAGAGGTGAAGGACGTCGAACAACCCTCGACGCGATTTTGCGAACATTGTTCTCCCCCCTCCCAGAGATAATCCGCGTAGAATCCTCAGTCATCTCCTAAAATAGTTTTCCGGGTTAGGTAAGAAACGGGTCTGTCGCGTTCGTTCCTTTGCCTTGGTGCGGTTGTGAAAAAAGGAAGCTCTCCCCAAAACGTGCCCCAAAACGAAGTCATCTCGGATTCCGTCCGATCGTCAAGATGTGACTGTCGTCGGCTGTGACTGTGTTATTTTAGACCTTTTTCAAATAAATTTTTACAGATAACGCTGCATCGTGTGGTACGTACGATATATTGTTCGAATGTTAACACTTCCTCAATTGTAGGTCCGTGGATCCTGTCCATCGGTAAACACGTCATTTGTGAGCGTGAAGAATGCATGTCTTTCGGCCCTCTTCTGTTGCAATTTATTTTTGGCAGCAAAGCGCTTTGTCGTTTCACATGCGGCAAATCCCGCGGCGCCGTCAAAGCTTATCGCAAGAAAAATAAATAACTAGAACTATACATTCCAGTCGCATTCGTTCTGTCGTGCGCGTACCCAACAAAAATAATTCACAGTTTTTTTTGTTGTTTTTTTTTGCTTTTTTGTTTTCTTTAAATGTGGCGCTCGGGAAAATGCATGTACAATGAAACACAAAATATAGCGGAAAAAGACGCGAATTTTGCCGCCAGCAGCAGTATTGAAATCACAGTCCACTCGGTTAGGGTTAGGAGGGACGCCGGTGAGAGTCTAGCCTCAAACTCAGTGACTGGGCCCGAAAACGGTTTGTTGCTTCTGGGGCCGAGTGTTTTTTGGAAAGGTGTATACACCAACTCATGTTTACAAACAAACCGGAGCGCCCCTAGCGGATGCCACCGGCGCCGCGCATGCGCGATGGGGGTGTGGGCAAAAAGCTCGCCGTCGCCCATAAACAAACCATTGAAACGCGATGTTGTCGGCGTCGGTGTGAGTCCCCCTGCTCTTTTTCGCGTTCGAATTGTTGATTCTACGTCTTCCTGGCGATGTCTGACTACTTGAGCGGCGTCAGCGAGATTACCGAGGCTTGTTACACCGCGAAACTTCGCGTGAATAATGTGACATGTGGCGATTCATTCCGCGTGGACGCCGCAATGTATGCTAAAACCTGATTCGCATGATGAGTTTTCGCTCGCAATTTTCAGTAGCGACGCTGCTCGGGCTGCAAAATTGTGAACCGTAGCTGAGATGGTCGACGTCAATACTGAAAATCGGACCAGGTGAATCAGGAATAACAAGTCGGTGACGGCCACTGGTAAGAATGATGAACATCTCCTTGATCTACTGTTTACATCGAGCCTAGATACCAACCTTCATACTTAAGTCTTTTGAGGCCTGCACTTACTTCTTATCGCAAATACCGGGCCAACATTTGGTCCACGGGTCGGTGTCGTCTAAAAGAGCAGACGACAAACAGAAACGTCTGAAAGAGCAGACGACAGTTCGAACGATCAGGCGGCCGTTTGAACTTGAAGACGCACTGAACGTAGTCCGCAGGTGGTCCGTACAACTTCACGGTTTTCCGGCGTTCATGTTCGAACAAAACAAATGAATCTGATGACCACAAGTATCCGTGAATTCAACCCAAAGTGCTTCCCGCCCAAGCAATCGTAGTCCGACGGCGTCTGCAGGTTTTCCCTTTTCACGGAAACGTTCTCGGGCGAACCGAGCACACAAAAACTGATCTTCACACTTTTCTCGACTCTTTTGGTATAGCCCCAGTCACGGTGTCTTGACGAAAAGGCCGTTTTTTGTCTGGTTCCTTTCAAAACAACGTAGGAATACACATCTCATGATGGGGACATTCGCCCACAGCCCCAGACCGGAAGTGCGTCCGACGCGCCACCACCGCGCCGTGACGTAACAGAGACGAGTTAGTGTATATAGCAAAAGGCCTGGCGGCCGAAATGTTCCACGGAGGAAAGGAGATTAAATGCACCCCACTAGAATTGCCGACCAACTTCGAGTCAGTAAACGTTCTTGTTGCAAACCGTCTGCGTCGTCCCCTTTTATGTATTTTTTTCGTTCTTGCGCAATTTCCTATCAACGTGCTTAACTCCAGCACATGACAACCCCTTGCCCCTTTTTATCCTTTTTTTTTTAATTTTGTGACATTTTGAAGTAGGGAAAGCTGCCCTCCCGCAAAAAGGCAAACGTATACCGCAAAATTCCCATTGAACTCACGGTGAAGACAAAGATCTGAGGAGGGCGATCTTTCGGGGGAGGGCATTCGTTTAGAATTTAAAGGTGTACGGACCCTTCCCCTTCCAAAGAGCGCTTCTCCTTTAACAATTAATTGTGTGGGTTCCAACGCACACCCTTGACCCACGTCCACTTAGGAAGTGGGCATGCAAATAAATCAGCCTCAAAGAAAAAAAAAACGATTTTCCTTTTGTTGGGACGAGGCGAACTGAGCAACGGGAGAAAATTTGTTTGGTGGGGACCGATAAAAAAAAAAAAAAAATGGTGTTGACGCTAGCTGTTTTTTTTTTCTTCTTTTTTTTTCTCGTGACGTCAAAAAATGGTGTTCATGTATACTGAGTGGCGCTGCGATGTCATTTCAATCTTGAGACTTTGGAGCAGACAGCAATTGCATTGCAACAGCAATTTTCTCTTGGCGGCGTGCGCGAACTACAGGGGGCGCTTCTCTAGCTATCATCATCATCGTTTGTGACGTCACGGGTAGGACAGACTGGGACAGACCGCACAGATCTTGGATCCCTCGGCTTGTCAGCTCGCTTCATGCGCTGTTTGGGTAAGGCGCGGCAAAGCCTGTTTCCGCATTGTGCTTATTTCGTGAAGTGATATATTTAGTAGAACATTTTACCAAAGTTTGAAACCGTAGCACGCGTAGTACAGATTTGGCGCTGAGGCGTTGAAGTGTTGAGATGGTCGTGTGCTGTTCTCTATACCTCAGTACAAAAAGCTTGATGATAAAAATAGAATATCCAGCGCTTTACCCTACTACCACAACGAATAGGGTGCATTTTTTATTGTGATTCAAACAAAATAAAGCTAAGAAAGGAATGTCTCATCAAATTTATTTATTTATTTACAAGATACTCCAGGCCAGTAATCCGGCCCAAGCAAGATTAAAAATAAAAAAAAGAAATTAAACATAAGAAAGCGAAATTCGAGAACGTCTCGCGCGTGCGAGTGCTGGTCTCTTAATTTTAATTTTATAAACCAGTAAACAAATATTTACTCAAAATACCTGGCTGCAAGAAGCGGTGGCTGTCTTCCGCAGTCGTTTCAATTAAATGCCTTCTTAATCACCCGGTCGACGCGAAACGTTCGAGGCCGCCTCGCGATCTTAGACTTACATGGACATAGTCGGTGGCACTTTAGCGTCCCAAAAAATGAGGTATACGAGCATCTGCTATGAGTTACTGCCATTTGTATGTTTAGTTTTGCGGACCCAAATGGGCGTATAATGGGTGATGCGCCTCCCAGCGAGCGATTTTAAATTTGTAAACAATTCTTAGTAAAAATTGAAAAGATCAAACTAGTCAATCGCCTGAATTTGCCGGGTCATGCACGGAACGAATTTCATATATTTACTGTCCCTTCACAACCACACGTTGTTTAGGGATTTTCCATATTCAGGCGTCCACCGAATATTATTTTTTTTTGTAATATCATTTATGTTTTCAACACAAGTCATAACTCGCCTTTATCACTTCGAAAATAGAAGACATGTGCCCCCCCCCCACACACTTTTACCAGACATGAACACGATACGTCTTATCTTGTGTTAGCGTATGCTCTTAGGGCTTCTCCTTACAGAGCGGCGCAATAAAAACCACCTGAAATGTAATATTTATATATATATACATGCTTCTATATATATATATATATATGACATCTTCAAGTTGTGGGGGAGCCGAGGCGTTCGCATATAAGTAAAAAAGCCACCAAAGTCACGCTTGAAGGAGGAGGGTCCCCCTCCGAAACGTCCGATTAAGCTATCCAAGTTTGTTTGAACCTCGGTGGTTTTTTAAATTTTTATATATATATATATATATATATATTTATATTTACACACATATATATATATATATATATATATATATATATATATATATATATATATATATATATTTATATATTTACACACTGCGGTGCTAGTTTGTCTGTTTTTGCGCACTTTGTGCATTTGCTTACCCGCTAAATGCTTCCACGTGCTTTTTGTTTACCCCCGACCTCAACCAATGAGGACGAGGGTTTGGCTGCCTGGTCACTGAGCATTCCCCGCGCGTTGTCCTCTGATTGGCGTTGCCCTCCCTTCGTTCACATGCGCGAAAGACTCATATTGGAACACTTGCTCGCCGTATAGTTGATTAGAGCTCAAGAAACGCAGGCTGTGGATTACTATGATCATGCTTCTTGCTCCATTAAAAAGAAAGAAAAAAAAAAAAGCTTTCCTTTACGAGGATTATTCGCCCCCTCTCTGTCAACACACCGTGCGAGCGAAACCGAAACCTCGCGGCCGGCCGAGCTGCCTTCCGCGAAGCGCGTCGAGCAATCGACCGGTTTCTGGGCGGTTGCCAGGGTGCGGAAAGTCAAGACGGAACCCCGCCCACCTGGTCTCTCATTGGCAGGGCCGTGAGGGCGGTGACGGTCTTCATCCACTTGACGTTCATGAAGAGCAGCCGGGCCGCCGATTCGCAGATGGTCTCCGGGTAGGCCGCCAGGACCTCGTGCGGGTACTGCGCATGCGCGGACAGACAGTATCGCTTAGCTGGCTGTCGTCAAAGGACAGATTTCACGCAGCACTATTGCGAAAGAACTGGGCCGGGCCCCTCGACTCTCAGTCTTTCCCGACCCGGGCCCGGCCCGGCTCAAAGTGCCTCGATTAAAGCACTTCACGGCCATGGCCCTTCACGACACTATGTGTGCGCGTGCTACCTACGTGGTCATGCTTTTAATTTTTATAGTGCATAGAAGCTTGGCATTGCAGGTGCTTGCACCTGCAGAGAAAGTTGAACTATCCTCACTCTGGGTTGTGAAAAAATTCCACCAGGCGGTGATACCCAAACTTTTCAACGCGAATACCTTTTAAAAATCTCCCCGTTAAATCTAGCGAGGAGGTTGAGTTGACATGTAGGTCATGTGGCGTCAATTTCTCCGCCAAGTTTAATGGCGAAACCCAATTGGTGTATAAATTACGTGACCTCAATTTCCCCGCTGCATGTAGCGGGGAAACTGAATTCGTAAAAATGTCACAGGATGTCAGGTCACGTGACGTAAACTTCCCCGTTGAATTTAGCGGGAAAATACATGGACAGGCGGACGGGTTTTGTTAAAAATCATTTTGTTTTACCGGCCTCTAACTTAAAACAAAAGGTGCGTGCACAAGATGCTAACGTTACCGTGCGAAACGTCTCCTAAAATAGAACTATGTGCCTAGGCACGTGACCGTTGTTTCAGCCAGAAGGGTTAAGCATGTTAAACCAGATTATTGAGTGAAAATAAAAGGAGATGTATAGTGTTCTGTGTACTTTCTCCTTAGATATGCTAAACCCGAAGCAGGTATGGGGCCCGAGGACAATGCTCGCTAGCTACCCGGCCGGGACCGGGCCGGGCCCGCGGGCTGGGACGAACAGGGCCAGGGCTTTCGGTTTGGCAAGGTCGGAGCTCTAACAACAACACTGCTGTTCTCCTAGGTTGCGTGAAACGGTTTTTTATGCAGATTTATGGACGAAATAGACCTTGCAGTTTGCTATACCACGAGTCACGACCGATGGCATTCGTAAGTCAACACTCGTGGAAAGAAAATGAAAACTGAATCATGTTGCGTAGAAAAAAGACAGATGCCAACCGTAACAATGAACAACTGAATGTGAACTGCAACTTTTTTATTTTTTGCAAATTATAATTTTTTTTTTTTTTTTTTTTTTTTTTTTTTTTTTTTTACGTTTAGAGATATTGCTGCGTGCGGCGAAGTTCACACGGCGATATTTGACTCGGAAATGTACCCCGCAGAAAATAGGAGCTGAAAGCCCGATTCGACCTTTTTCTCCATCTGTGGTACCCAGAAGCTTTATATACAATTTGTGAAATACTCCGAGATGATGGGACATCAACTTCGCATTCCATTCCTGTAAATTTTTGAGACAGAAACACACACACACACACACACAGACACACACACACACACACACAGAAAAGACTATTTTAGCTCACATTTTCCACGATAATACACAAGCCTGAGGACAGTTAAAGGGCTTAAGAGAATCGCAAAAGTCGGGCATCTGTGAAGGATGGGCAGTCGATTTCTGTTTAGAAACATCGGCGCATGGGCCACCTCGAATAGGTGACGACCGCAAGTGTTGCCCATAATAGGCACCCCAGGTTTCAATTCAGCGGTCAACTCCCACCAAAGCTGCCATAATTCCATATATCGGAAGCAAAGCGGACAGAAGAAATACATTTTAAATAATCAACCACAACTTCAGTCGGGAGGAAACACCGTCCACCGACCATGGACAAAGTTATCTTTCCTGCGAGTTATTTGTAGAGCAAACATATTGCATGAGTTTCATGGCCAGTGGCGTCGGAACAAGGGGGGAGTGAACGAGAGCGCGAAAAGAATAAGAGCTGTCACCTTAGGCGTCGGGTGGCAGAGTCCCACCGCTGTGGCTGCGGCCGCCGACGTCAGTGCGGGGGGCCTGAGCGAGGACTGGTAGAGCGCGGCCGCACACGCGCCGTCGGGCCCCATGAAGGCCGGGTGCAGGGCGAAGGGCATCGGGTGGCCGTGGGGACTGCCCAGGGCCCCCGGCGGAGAAGGGCCCGGGGCCCCGGAGGGCGGGCCGCAGACCTGGGACGAGGCCGCGGAGTGCGCCATACGTAGTCCCGCCGCCGACGTCGCCTCCTTCAGGTAGAGCGCCACCTGGCGCCGTAGGGTCGAGTTGCGGGGCCCCCGCTCGTGCTGCACGGCTGGAAGGCAGCGAGGGCCTTGGGCTGTTATCGAGGGGGCCTCACAGGGGGAGCCACCGAGCGAAACGCCCGACAGAAAACAGCTCGCTGATATATCGTGATTGGGTACGCTCGAAAATACGCGGATGAATGACTTGATCGCACGAAACAAAGGTTACGAAGACACTGATTTTGTCTTTTTGGTGGCTTGATAACATTTCTTTTGTTCGATCAAGTATTAGCCCCGAGAAGTTCGCATGGCGCCCCCTTACGGCGAACCGGGGTGATGTCACGGCGAGGAGAGAATTTTTCCCCGACTCGCCCCGGTCGCCCTGTGCAGGTTGTGGCGACGCTAGCTGTCGGCGCGCTCGTTTCTATTTAACTTTTTTTTTTTAACTTGTTTCTCCTAGGAAGTGTATATTTTTATATGTGCCTTTATTGAGGTATGGCCTGTAGCTGCAGGCGAAACATCAACCAACATCTTAAAGAAACAATGACGACGATTTTATTTAATTTTTTAAATGGTGTTTTAATGCTTTCTGGAAACATAGCATGCCGCCCAATTTTTTGTAGACATTTATGACGCGTATTTATGTGCCTACGAAAGAAGTAAAGAAACCGAAACTGAACCATCTCCAGTATCGTTTCTGGGCCTCCGAAAACGGAGGTGACGTAGGAGTGACGTCAAGTGTGAATAGTCGGTATCGGTAGTATTTAGGCGATCAAGACTTTGGTTACCGCGGTGGGTTATAGCAGCGCGGTGGCGCGGTCGTTGCGCCGACTCTGTCAACATGGACGAATGCCGCTCTCGCGAGCGAGTTCGAGCTTCCGTTCAGTGACCGAACACCAACGGAACGGGAGTACGTGTGCGGCGGCCTCTGCCATCACCCGACGGAGACCGCCCAGCCGGCAACGAGCGGCCCGCATGCCGAAGGACGGACGCGGGGGAGATGCCGAAGGGAAAGCGGCAGCGATCCCGCCGTTCCGGGATCCGGTTCCTCCGCGGACTTCCTCTTTTCGTCGTCAAAGAACACGAACAGCTACCCACACGTGAAAACTAGCGTCGCCCGAACGAATACTGGTCTTCAGTCGACCGTTAGAACAGCCATCTACAGCTACCATTTTGCAAAATCTTTCGAGTACCGTGTTCTTTTTAAATTTTATTTGTTGTCCCATAGTTGCTCGTTGCCGGTTTCGTGCCCAGCGTAGCAAAGAAAAAAAACAACGATGCTGCTTTATATACGGTTTAGTAATCATTTCCGATCCGATTTATACTTTTGATGGTTATTCAAGCGGAAAGTAGAACAGTATTTCTAAAAATCGCGAACCAAAACGTGACCGAGGGCACGTTTCCCGTTTCGACCAATCGCTGACGCGTCTCTTGTGACGTCGCGCTCCTTGGCCCCGCATCGGTCACGTGAGCTCCGCTTCTCCTGACTTCTCCCGCAACTCTTGGGGCGTCGCCCCAGTCGATCCCGGTACGATTGTTACCGCGACTGTTTAATTGATTTGCGCGGCACACAAGCGCCGGTTTCGGCTGAAATTTGGGCAACGTGGCCTGAGACGTGCCTGGAACCCAGTTCAATCGCCAAAAAGATCTCCGAAATTGCCTTCATTGTCCCTTTAAGCATGGTTGACAGGGCAGGCAACGCATGAATCACAGCTGGTATATGAAAATAAAGAAATATGGCCACAATTGCAGGAGCATCACTATATAATTATATCTCGCACAATACATGCTGCTGATGGTCTGAATAAATTGGCAGGTTTGTATACCAATTTTTTTTTGTATCTGTTTTTAAACAAGATCGCCGAAGCAGAAAAGCTGCATGCTGCTCGAGCAACATACTAAATACAGTCTGGGCCATGGGGAGAGAATCACAAGTAAGACAGCCCAAGTGCCGGGGCAAACTAAAAAAACAAGGAACTTTTATTGCATACATTGCTCGCATTTGACCTTTGCTGGATTCGGATAGTACTTTAATGGACTACACGGGTGGTATCTGTGAACTTGTTTATATCAACCCTCAAGTAACGTATAACAAGCGTAAGCGAAGGTGTCTGACCCGTTATTAGTCCCTTAAGCCCTAAAATTGAGAATTTACATAAATCGAATTGTCATGAAGCTAAAATACCAGAAGCTTTTCTCACGCAGACTGTCGCCCTTCACAGGTTCCACATTTTCTGCTACTAGTGCGGCATCTACCACTGGACAGCCGTTCGAATGCTAGCTTGCTTTTACTCCTGCTTTCCTCTGTTGTCAGAGGGTTCAGCTGTAGGGAGTTTGGAGGCTGAGGAAGCTTTTGGGGACCTGCAGCAGTGTCTCTTTTAATTGGAAATGACAATTCACACTAAACTGTGTATTTTCCAAATACCCAAGGCCGGAATAAAGAATGTCAGGAAACAGTATAAACCTTCCAAATTACGGCACAATTGCTGTGCATATTTTGGGCAGTTTAATAATAAAGAATAATAAAACATTTCAGCCTGCAAATAGTAAAAAAAAAAAAAAAAAAAATAGAGGGGAGACAAAACGAGAATGGGTGGTGGCTACGCTTTATCCTATTGGCATTCCGACGGCAAAGCTATGTTCTCGCCCATACTGGAATTGGCGATGTGTCAAGCTGGCGGCATACGCGCCAGTGTACGCCGCCATTGCTGAGCTTCTCTTGTCTTACCGAGATGCCGAGCAACTGATGCGGGCTTTGACGAGCCTTTACAAAGGCCAATGCGGAGAATGACATACTATAATCTAAAGTAGAAGAAAACCTGTCGTGAATACATATACTTTATGTTAAAATTTCATATCGTCTATGAATGGCATAAAATAATTGGCACCCAAAGATACACGAGAAATAAATCAAAACGCATGGGAACTTTGGCATGTTCCTAAAGAACGGAAAAATATAGAACTGATCCGGAAAATATGCACAATAGATAGAACGGATCTCTAATGATAACATATAGTACATGGGAACGAGAAAGTAATTTTAAGATTCGTAGTTACATGAAACAGGCGACTAAGTATGAGGATGATGCTGATGACGACACCCAATGAACAATATAATAGGGCGAGAGGGCACGCCTTACAATAAACAGTTTTCTCTCGTTTTTTGTGTTTTTTTTTTCTGTTATCTTTATTTATTTTGCGGCTCCGTTTCTTTTTCCCGCGCGTTTCCGCCGGTGAGAGAAGGCTTGCTACAGGAACGGGGCCACAGGCCGGGCTTGTTTGGAAGGACAGCGACCAGCCACGGGCCGGTCGGAAGACCTCCGATTGCCCGGGTTCGTAGACCTCTTGACACAATGTGCGCCGCCATATTTGTCTAATGAGCTGTGGAATGCGGTAAGAATGCCTAGAAATAACCTCGGAATATCAGACGTCACGCATGTTTTCGCAGCCAATTGGTTGAAGAATACACGGCATTTTTCAACCAGTGATAAGCGTTGGAAAGCGCTGTGGCTGCCATCGTAGGTCGTTTTTGTTTGTTTATAATTAAAAATATATATCACTATGTGTTTTAAAACAATTAACACGGGAATTTAAATAAGTGGCAAAAGCGGAAAAGAAAAGTTCTCTGCTGTTGAGGAACTGCTCGCCTGCAATGTTCCTATCCATCCACATATATCGTCTGCGCTCTCGTTAGTGGAATAATGGAATTAACTGCCTATCGGAAGAGGTGTTTTTTAAAAACCTATTCAGCTTCCCTGATCTAAACCACATATATCGAGGCCAACGAACTGTAAGTGCTTCCTAGACTGCAGACATGCACGTAACACGCTACAAGTAACGAGTTACTTCTACTACTATTTTCGGTAACGAGTAAAGTATTTAGTATATTTTCCAGAAAAGAAACGCGTAACGTACTTAGTTACTTTTAAGGCCAAGTAACGAGTAACGGTGTATCTCGTTTCTTTTGAGGAGAAACCTGTACAACACCGCTTAAGCTGCCTTGTTTTTATTTTAACCTGAGTATGCGCCTATTGCGAGAACGGTAGGTGGGCAACCAGAAAAACAACTAGACAGTACGACAGCACAGCAAGGTATCTCGCTGAACACGTCAGTCGAACAGTTCGACTGGCGTGTCCAGCGATAAACGTTGCTGTACTCAACTCTACAGCTATAGGAGTGTCCTTCACCCAGCGAACACAATAAGGTTCGTCGGTTAGACCCTTCTAAAACCGACTACGGACCGAATGTAAACCCGGAGGTTGCGAATACGGGAAGGCACAGAGCCCATTACACGCTGTCCTCAATGAAGGCGCAGTTTCTGAAGATTCATCAGTTTTTCCTGAAGCAAAATACTGCCGTTCTTTCGAGCGCGTCGGTAGAGCGACTCTTCAGCGTCGTCGGAGATGTATTTTCAAAGAAGCGGGGAAACATAAGTGATGAAAGCTTCGAGAGGCAGCTACTTCTTAAGTGCAACGACTACTAAAAATAAAACAATAAACCATGAAACAAAAACAGCTGTGCATTTGGTCGTCAAAGTAACGCGAAAAGGAACTCAATTGCTACTTTTGAGGTAACTCAGGCGTTCCTTTTGGGAATCGGTAACGAGTAACGTACTTAGTTATTTTTGGAGCGAGTAACGGGTAACGGTAGTTAGTTACTTTTTTGCGGTAACGTAAGATGTACATGTCTGCTAGACTGATTAGTCACACGAAGGCACGACAAAACGGTATTCGAAAAGAACAATGGGTTGAGTTAGCTCCGGATGAGTAATGGAGCATTTTGGAAATATGCAGCACCCTTCATCGTCCAGTGCGACAATCTGATGGTGGAAGTGTACCAGTGAAACAAAGGAGTGGTTCGTGTTTGTTGAGCATTTTGTAATGTAAGAACACAGAGAAAGCAGGACGATAAGAAAACAGGCCACGTTTCGGCTTTGTTAGGTATTCTTTGTGTTCTGCACTAATAACCGTAAGAGAGAAAAAATCGCGCCGACGGCGTGCGGAGGGAGCCAATACGGGTCAGCCCGAGCGTACATCGGAACTGCCCCAGAATTTTCCGCGCCGCACGCCGCAATGTAGGGCCGCTGAGAGGACTCGCGAGATTTAAAACTAAGGTTGTCTGAGAAAGGTGAAGACACTTAACCAGCTATAATGCCACGGAACAGAGCAAGGCGGAGAGTATCAGTAAGGGTCGGGGGCGCGGTGCCCTGTAGTACCTTCTTTGTTCATGCCTGCCTCGAGGCACTTGCGCAGCCTGCAGGCGCGGCACTGGTTCCGGTGGGTTTTATCCACGGGGCACCCGTTGGCCGCCGCCCCGCGGGCCTTGCACACGTACTGTCGGTTGCGCCGAATCGAGCGCTGCACCCACAGGGTCGGAAAGAAAGGACACGCACAGTCATACTCCGGTCCTGCCCTCGCAAAGGCAGGAACGAAAGCACGTCAGCCTCGTTTACTGCACCGACGTTCAAATAAATTAAAAAAAAAAACAGCCACAACGAACTTACTTTTTTTTTTTAGATACCAGGCTTGAAAATGTAGAGATTAAACTATTAAATAAAATAAAAATTGTAAATTTAGAAATAGACAATAAAAAGCTATGCACAACACCGAAATGACCGCTTAACAGAGTTTTATTTGTAAAGTCGAACGAGCATTTGTTCCTCCTTCTTTCTCGAAGTTTACTACGAAACATCAATTAGGCGCAATTTTATCGGTCTAAGATTTTAGACGAACGACTTTTTTCTTTTTGCTTGGAAGCAACTTCTTGAAAAAAGTTTGCGCAAAAAAAAAAAAAAATTAGTCAGTCATGGGCCATGTTTCTAAGTGAAGGGTCATATAAAATTATGAAGTAATTGTCAAATTAGTCAACGAACGTCAATTCTTGTTATGCTGATAAAAAGAGAAGCTCTGCTACTCAGAGATATAATTACGTAAAAAATTCTAGCACACCTAATATTTTTCATCGTATAATTCATAAAAGAAACTAAACCTTGGGAAACCATGTCAGTTAATTTGGCATGTTTTTTGTTTTTTTTTTCTTCTTTCTAGTTCTGTGAACTACGAGCAATATAGGTGTCGTACGTCGCATTTCCACGTCAGGAATGTGCAAGTACGCATCTTCATTCCTAAGCTGGTCATCCAGGAGCTAGGGAGTTTTCGGTTTAATGCTTAGGTATCGCGAAAGTTCCGAATTCGCACAAGGTAAAGTAGAAATAAAAATCCGAACTTTGACTCACCTTAAAGAACCCAGCACACCTGAAAAGCAAAGAAACGAAAGGTTAGCGACACATGTTGGGTCGGATACCCGATTATGCGCTTAATTTACAAAGTAATGGAGTACTTTCTTGTGTAACAGTATGGAAACTCCAATAAACATCAGCGGTATCCCTTTACTATTAAAGACACTTTCTAAGTAGGAAAGACTGACTTGCATATGCAATTTTACGTAGCCCCCTCCCTTTTTTTTTTTTTTTTTTCAGGAAACATATTGTTACAGAACAAGGACAATCGAAAAGGTTATGAAGTATCCGAAGTATTCGTATCCGAAGTATTCGTATCGTAGAGAGTGCTTGAATTGTATTTTTCACAGTGAGGGAAATTCACGACGTACCGGCTCCTCATTTTGCAGTGTCGAAGCTGGGAATGAAGCAGCGCTATTTGATTATCAGCTGCATTCGCACATCCCTATTATGAAGTATTATACATCAAAGAAGCCGTCGCCGTACCTGGACGCTGACGCACATGTTTGCATGCTTTCTTTTTTTTTTTTTTTCTTATAAATGACGAGAGCTTTCGCAGCTCATGTTGCGAAGTGTTATCTCACGCTGGAATATCAAACTGCCGGTGAATCCATGATACGGTCGTCCGACCCCGTAAGGAACCGCAGAAAAGGCTACAACTATATCGTATTTGCTACAACTGCGGGCGGGCATAGGGTGGGGAATCTAATTGTCGCGTTCCTGGTGCTAAGTTGGTAAATATATGACGATTCAGATTAAGTACAGACGCAGCCGACGCTACGAGCTCATGGGGCCAATCAAGCAGCGTCAAATGCGCAAGTCACTGGGCCTTCTCTGCTTATCATTGGTTAAGCGATGATCGATAGAACACGTACAGAAACATGGTGAGCACCATGATGGGGCGCTTTAATTTGACGCTGTCTGGTTGATCCCATCAGCTCGAAGAGTCGGCTACGCCTGGACTTAAAGGGGACTCTGCCGATTGCTGAGCTATCTGATCCAAAGACATCATCTGAATGCGGATGGCCTACTGATACCGATATGCTATCCTTTTCCCCTAGATTCACTCGAGTTAATAAAAAAAAAAAAGCGATATTTTGTTCTCTGTCGAAACCGAAACATCGCCCTCCCCAGTTCTTCTCCGTCATCCAAACGTGACGTCACCGGCGGGCAACGAGGCGAGCGGCCGGCAATCAGGTACGCTCGCGCCCGCCTTTCTCGCGTCTAGCAGCGAGAAAACAAGGGCGTTCGTGCTATCCGAAGTTGATAATAGACCGATATCACCAGCCAGTTTGGCCAATACCACGTAGAACACATGGCCTGCGCGTTTCCTCCTCTAAACGTCATCCCTAGCAGATCCCCCCAACGCCCACCAGGACGAGTGACATCGCCTGCTCCTTCGCCTGCTTCAATGGTCATGCTCAGAACGAGCTCACACTACTAGGCTGCTAAGACTGGCAATCTTGACGGTGTCGCACGGGCTCACGTTAATGGGCTGCTAGGACCGGCGATCTCGATGGTGTCGCGTGCGCGTTGCAATGAACTCTCGCTCTCATCTGTGGCCGCCGGTGAATGTGACGCAGTTGTGACGTGGCCCGTTGGGGTGTTTGCCGCTTGGGGCGAGTTGGGGTCAAGTATTATCTTACACCGTGGTCGGGGTTCTACTAATGATGACGTAAAGGCCCGTTCATACTCTTGCGAGCCGCGTGAGTTGAACTCGGAGTACCCCGAGCTTCTTCAGTAACAAAGGGTCCACAAGTAACGTTAGCCACTCATTATTTTCAAATGTGACGAAATATATCAGTACTGTTCACCAAACGCTTGTGAATATTCTGACGAAAAAAAAAAAAAAACCTTAAGCAAATTTTTTAATAGATGTCCAAAGTTTCCCACGTTGTGCGTGCATATGCAATGCCCGGAGCACACACGATGTGCGACAATGTAGGCAAACCGGTGGCTGACCACGATTTATCCGAGCTACAGACGGCGCCCGTGCAGTTTTTTTTTTTTTTCTTTCTAGGTTTAGTTAAGGTACGAAAACACTTCGCAAGCACTGCTAATCTCAGAATGAAAGAACGCTTGCAGTCATTTAGTGCCTTTCCCAGTGGTTCGAAATAAGCAAGCGCATACGTTCCCTCTCCTGCAGCCAAACTCAGAAATGAAACATTGTACAAATGATCACGAAACGCTTTTCGAACTTAGCTTTCCTCCTCAACTCATAAATTGCGCGTTCTACCAAACAGTTCAAGAAGACGGAAAGGGGGGAGTCCCCTCTCACTCGGAATCTCGCTTGTGTAGCCGGACACAGCCATTGTCCCCCTAGAAGATTAGCCCGTCGCTGAAAATTCAGACAAGTTGCCTTCCCCACCCCGATCGCCCCGAAGCTACGTGCTCGTTGGGCCAGCCACACTTTTTCCACCTGATCACTCTCTCGGGCATACCGACCCGCAGAGAATGAGGTCAGGTGATAAAAAAGAGGCGGCTGATCAGTCCGGAAAGCGCGTAACTTCCACCACAATGTCAGCTTAGGGGTGAAGGAAATAAGTGAGGTCCGGTATCGTGTGACGTGCGTTTGGGCCCGGTGACGCGCTGCGGGTGCCCAGTGACACGCAGCGGGGTCCGCGGATGGATCACAGTGAAAAGGCAGAGAGCTTATGAAGGGGAGGAGGTAAGGAATAGTCCGCTGAGTTTTCAAAATTTTCGTACCGAAGGTCAGGCTTCTGTCTGTTACATTTGTTCTTGTGGCCCACTGAACGATGTGGTATAGTAAAATCCCAATGTAAATTGATTTATTTCAGTCCAAAATTCGTTTCATGGGTCCTTTAAAGCAAAACGCTGGACGACGATTCTACGAAAGGTTGGAAACCCATAAAACGGTGATTCAGTATTTTTTTTTTTTTCGGAAACAGCAATGACAATATATTGGGGACGTATATGCAATGCTTTAATCACACCGCATTCACAAAGCCCAGACAAAACGAATCGAATGGCTTTACAGCGCAAAAGTCAGAGGGTGAAAATAAGAGATTGCCAAATATAAAACTACGAAAAAAAAAAAAAGAATGACAGCTTACAAACATCACAATCATGAATACATTAAATGCCGAGAAAATAAATAACTCACCCAGTCTGACCAGCAGACGGCAGATAGAAACCAAAACAATGATACATCGGACGTGTATGTGAAATTAATAAGGGTCCTAAAAATGTCCTAAATCGTGAAAGAAAAAAAAAATGAGCAAAGGGCACGTTGGACATGAGAAGCATTACATTAATTTTACCGTGATAAAAGACTTGCACCAAAACAGTAAAGCTCTTATGAAAGTAACAAACAAGATAAAACACTGAATAGGACCGGGGATAGGCAAAGTAAGAAGCAGAGTTCACTCCATTCGAGTCTGCCGACTTCCCTTGAGGAGCTCCTCACCGGGATGCAAGGGAAATTCCTGCGAGGTTTGGGCCCAGGTCGGCCCATAGCACTTTGCCGGGCGCTCCACGTAGTGGAACTTGCCCTGCGGAGTCTCGTCGAGGAATGTGGGGAAGCGGACCTTGGCGCGCTCACTGAACCAGCACTTCCTGAATTTCTTGAGACAGCAACAGACGCAGAGGAGCACGAGGCAGAGGGCCACCGCCACGCAGACAGCGACGAGGCCCTCCAGGCCGATGCACGAGTAGAACGGCACGTAAGCGTCCCCTGTATGCCTTTCTGCGCTGGTCGTCGGCTCCTTTGAGGCCGCTGTCTCGGAGTATGCTACAAACTCGCAGAGCGATAGTAGGGACGCCGGGCCGGACGAGTGGACGCTGACGAAACGGCCGCCGCCTCCGGGCGTGCACGGAAGGTAGAGAGAACGTCCGGGCAGAAGAGCGCCCTTGAAGACGCTGCAGACCGGATTCGCATCGTAATGCCCGTCAACATCGCCGACGCGAACGGTCAGTTGAACGGCTGAAGGGACGATACTTTCCTGGAAGTCCAGCTGGACGACGGCGATGGGAAGAGTTTCCCCGAGGTCAACAGCGAACCAGGGGGACGCCTCGACATCCGTTTTGCTGCATACCTGTTTCCGTCCAGGGCGAGGAAAGCCATGCCGCTGACGTTAGAACCGGATGATTGGAAGGCTGGCCGGTCGGTTACCACGTTTGAGAGGCACATGGGTAGGTCTTTGGGATGCCAGGAGCCGTCCCGTCCGCACTGTTGAGTTCGTGGTCCCAGAATGTCGAATCCTTCCAGGCAGACGTAAGCGATGGTGGTACCCGTCGAGAATTGCGTCCCGTTGGTCGCCGACTGCGCAACGGTGGTTCTCCCGTTCTTGGGGGCCTCTGGCGCATGGCAGGCGTTCGTGGACACGGCGACGAAGGCGAGAAGAACTAGAGTGGGAACCATGTTGCACGGTCTGCTCTCGACGAGTGGCTGCTGCGAACTGACCGCTTCCCGACAAAAGAAGAAGGGTTCATGACTCAAAAGTCTTTTGAGACAAGGACACGTGATCCATATCTTCCATGCGGATCTTGCCTCCAGCCCCCGGTGACCCAGTTCTTTTCGAGTTTGAACCGCTAAGTCATACAATCCGTTGCACCCACTACGCATACAATGGTCGCTGTAGTTTCCTCCTTGCCTTCGAACAAATCAGTTTACTTCCCTCTTCACCACGCATCCTTGCTAAAAAGAAAAAAAAAAACAAAAAAACGTGGGAGGGTAAAGGGAAGGGTACTTTTCAGAGTAGGAGCCAGGATACCATTATCGCGATTTCAAGCTTTAATCTGTTTGCGAAAATGGGTTTAGCACCAAGGTCGTCAAGAAAATGTGACACTGATACCGTTTAGGTGGGCTGTTTTGTTTTACTCAGCATCTCTCAGAGAGCAGAAGGCATTAATTCCGCATAACATTATAAAAGTCAAGATGGACATGCACTGCTTTTCGTTGCTCATGTCTTATCTCAACCAGCGTCTTTCTTTTTTTCTTCTTTGAGAAACTGGGAGGAGTACCATTTACTGCAACGCGAACTGTTGAAATATATT